GAATCGTCATGAATGGTCAGAATTTCTCAACATTCCTGAACAGTCTCACCACTTCTGACGTTTTCGAACGTTTCTCACCATTCCTAACCAAATACTTTCCAAGCTCCTCCCACTTTACTCCCACCATTTTCGAAGCTGTGACCATTTCTGAAATTCCTGACCATTTCTGAAATTCTTGACTATTTCTGAAATGTGTGAACACATAACCTATAAAAATTGTTCTTTTAACTTAACAAAAGTTCTCATTTTTCAAATTGGTATAATTATTGAATTAATTATACAGCAAAAGTAGGTAAATAAATCAAAACATTCGGACCATTCTTTCAACATTATTTAATACATTTATTTAATGTATATTTATAATATATTAATTTAATATATGTATATTTACTTGTAATTATTTAATATAGTTAATTAATAATAAATTTTGATTCATAATATTAGTAATTTACTATACCAGTCAGTACTTATTATGAGAAGTATTTGCATTATAATTGAAATACAGTTATATTTAAATTATTATTAATCATTAATAGAATAATTTCTTACTATAATGATTATTAATAATTTAAATTTTAAATTTATAAAAATTTCAATATTGCATTAATAATTCATTATTATTATAAATTATAATGTTAAATTAAATTAATATTAAATACTAAATTCATTTTAAATGCAGATATAATAATAATTATTATTAATCTGTATTCGTATTATAGTTTATGAAACATTCCAAATTGTAAAGTTAAGACTTAATTTATTATTGATTCAATTAATAATGTTAATTTTTATTAATTCACATAACCTATTATGACTAAATTGAAATATAATTAATTAATACAAATTATTTAACAGTTTATTCTGATTTATTGATAATATTGGTAATTGAATTTTACTATTTTACAGTTGCTCTTTATATAGACAGTTGAATCCAGAAATATGTAAGTCGGTTCGGTAGTCGCAGTCGTTAGGGCAGTTAGTTTAGGCACTAGGTTAGGTCATGCGTCGGGGTTCGATCCCTGTAGGGTCCAAATTTTAATTTAATTCCGGGAATTAGTTTCAAGTTGTTCCGTATGTAAACAAACTGATATTAATTAATAAAATATATTTTTTAAAATTAATTTGTTGCAACTTTTTGCATATTGTTTAAATAAATAAAACAGAAGTGGCTTAAAAATATGGTCAAAAATGAGATACAAATGGTCTCAAATAGTCACCAATTATGGGCGGGGTCAACAAAGAGGAGGGGATAGTAGCAAACTTGTGACCACTTTAAACTTCCTCCTGATCAGTTGTGATAGATTTCTGACGAGATCCATCCAGAATCGTAAGAAAACTGTATTAAAGTGGTCAGGCGGCCTGACCATTTGTCTGATCATTCCTGATTTTATTTTTAGTAGGGTCTCACAGAAAAAAACTCGACTCACTTTTGTTGCAACGCATTTGGAAGTCGGTCTCGAAATGAGTAATCGACAACTTCAAGTGACTCGAAATGAGTAATCGGCAACTTCAAGTGACTCAAAATGAGTAAAATGACACATGGTTTCCCATCCCTGTCAGTCAATTGACAAATGTCTAACCTAAAAATTCGTTTTTCATTTCTCATAAACGCGATAAATCGACTTCAAGTAATAATGTTTTGACAAATGCAAAGTGTTTATTCATTATAAACAATTATTTTAATTCATATTTTTATGAATTAATCCCGCAGTTATTCCAATGTTATTGTAATTTTATTATAAACCCAAAATGATACCGCTTTTTACTCATTTTGAGTATTTTTCCCAGAAACTCAGAATGAGTCGAAGGGTTAAGGCCTAAGCACAATAGATTCGCGAAAGTCGTTGGCGAACGTAAAGCATGAGTTAGAAAAGGACAGAGATATATTTGTGTCCTTGTCTATCTCATGCGTCTCTTTCGCGAACGACTTTCACGAACCTATTGTGCGTTGGACTTTATCATTTTTGTTGTACTTCAAAATGAGTATCATATGATACTCATTTTGAGTATAGTTTTTTTCTGTGCTTATGCAGGAAGTATAGCTGTGCGAGCGCCTTTATAGCAATGAAAATGAAACATAAGAAAAGCACACTCACAGTTCCAAATCCACATCAAAAAAACCGCTGCCAAGTTGTACATTTTTATAATTTTGGTGTTCATTTCATGAACACTTTGCTTCCTCATAGAAATAATAATAATTGAAATATAAGAATTACTTTTTATAAAAGGGTTAAAAATCATTAAATCTGGGTCCAAAAAATGTGTTTTTATATATTCTATAAGATGGTAATAATAGTTTAATAATTACACATAAGTTAATAAACAAGAATGTTGAAAAAATGATATTTTCCACAATTTTTGATTTTTCAAATACCAATAATTTCATAATTTCTGTCCGAATCAGGTTAAAAAATAGATCAATCAAAGCGTTTTCTAATGCTTTTCAAGTAGGTAATAATTTTTTGAAGTTACTTTTACATAATTTTAAAAAAATTTTATAAAAGTCTCATTTTTCAAAATTTTAGATTTTTAAAAGTTTAATATCTCCGGTTAATATGGACGAAAAATGTTCAATTAGGGTTCAAAAGATGCGCCAGAAAAAACTCTACAAAACTAAATACAAAACAAAACTAAACTTTTTTTCAACAAAATTTTTCAACAAAATTTTCAAAAAAGTTTTATTTTCTAAAATTTTTGATTTTTTAAAGTTTAATATTTCCAGTTAATATGAACGAAAAATGTTCAATTAGGGCTCAAAAGATGCGTCTGAAAAAACTCTACAAAACTAAAGAAAAAGATTTATAAGTGTCCTAACATTTTTTTAAGTTATGTCCAAAAAACGTTTTTTTACAAAATGAAAAATGCAAAAAAAATAGTTAAACTTCATGAATCGGGCTGAAAATACTCTCATTTTATGTCCTCCGGGAAGACCTACAATTTAAAAAAAAATTGAGGCTTTAGCTCTTTTTCGTTCTGAGATATTGAGGCAAATGTAATGTTTGTACACACACACACACACATCGGGACAATTTTTTTAAAATCCGTTTTTTGGACTTCTGAGTTCAAAATACGTCGAAATTTTTTTTTTATTTATTTAGAACATTTATACGGGGAGTTCCTGTGCATATATAAAGTACTAAAGTATTAGGCATAATAAAAAAAATTTATAAATATGTCAAAAAATGACAATCCAAAATTTTGCTAATACAAAGCTTCCTTTATGAGGAAGCAATATAGTACCTAACTTAACCCTCCATCCGTCGCATGGTGAGAATTTCCCTCACCCAGTTTCTTTTTTTATTTATAACTTTTAAAATACAAAAAATTATAATTTCATATTCTCATTACCTTTCACAACACTCTTCTTCTTTACATTAAAACAATTTTTGTGTTTTTTTATATTTTAATTTCTTTGTTATTGAATTTGAAAGCAGCAAATGTCGAGGATTTTTGACGCGAAGTGAGGGAACTTCTCACCATGCGACTGATTGCGTATACTCGATTTCATTTGTCATTAATTTTTTATTTAAATAATTAACAGAAAATAAAAGTTAATTTTACTGCTAATAGGTTGTTTAGAAATTCTAATGAACATTAAAAAAAAATTTGGCATTTCAGAACAAGTTTGGACTAATTTATGAGGGTGAGAATTTCTCTCACCTGCGACGAATCGCGTTACAAAAAAAGGTGCGACGGATGGAGGGTTAATAAAACTCACACATAGTTAGAAGATGTAGCTTTTTGAAAATTTTGTTGAAAAATGTAGAAGTAACTTTTAAATTATCGTTACCAACTTGTAGAGCATTAAAAAACGCTTCTATTGATCTATTTTTGAACCTAATTCGATAATAAATTTCGAAATTATTGGTATTTTAAAAAACAAAAATTGTGGAAAATGACATTTTTCAACTTTTTTGTTTGAAAATTTTTGTTTAACTATTAAACTATTATAACTATCTTGTAGGGTATTTAAAAATACATTGACAGATCCCAAATTCAATCACTTTTACCATATTTATAAAAAGTTATCCATATATTTCTATTATTTTTATCTCTATGAGGAAGCAAAGTGTTCATGAAATGACCACTAAAATTATAAAAAAATATGCAACTTAGCAGCGGTTTTTTTATATACTTGACAAGGAACTAATGAGAGCAAACGCCTAATATCCTAAATGATCCATATTAATTTACAAAAGAATGCAATAAACAAAAAAGATGACACTCAAAGTCTAAGTAATTGTTTGGTGACACCTTGACTTTCATTTAATTACCTATATTATTGTAATAAATTCCATGAACTTATTCCCCCTTCTTGTCACTTCTCGTAATTACTTTATAGTTGATTAGCAATCGTACAGATAAGATGTGTTTAACAACTGACAAATTGTCAAAATATGTCAAAAAATTTTTTTTAAGGAAAATGTTGTTTATTCTTTGAAAGTAAAGATTTTTTTTTAAATTATAAATTACAATTGTATATTTTACGAAATTATAATAAAATTTTCAGTTTACTAAAGAGGATGACCGTGCCGTTGAAAAGTAAAGAATATTTTTTTTCTTTTTATTTTGTTGTTAAATTATTGAATAATTATTATTAAATACCACCGAGTAATAAATTCAAAACTAATTTTATTACTCATAAACATTGAACATAAAATTATCTATTTAACAATTATTGTTAAATTATAAACTTATTGTTGCTATTTACTAACTCTTGACATAAAGCACCTATAAACTTATAATTTTTCCTAATTTTGCAAATAACTAAGCTTAATAATTAAACATGAAAATATTTTTCTAATTTTGCAATTTATCAAGTTGAGTATTATTGCAAAATTTGAAGAAAGTTAGTAATTAACAGTAATTTCAGATTCGTAATCAGCGATCCCAAAAACCTCTGAGTAACGATTTTTATGTGAATCGAATTATTTCTTAAATTTCATTAAATACTTCAAAAGTAAGTAGAAAAAAGAATATATCTAATATTTTATTCATACCTGATAATACACAACAAAAAATTATTATTTCACAAACTAATATAAAACTATTCCTTATTTTAAAAAACATTTTTTTAACGAATTAAACACTTTTTAAAATTCTTTATTCACTGTTCACAAAGCCGGTATCTCTAATACTTATGTTAAGTGTAGATTATCTTAAAAACTACATTATAAAATGTATCCATTGATAAGACTTCTGATGATATCAGCTTAAAGATAAGCAAATACAATTTTAAGGTTGACTCTGGAAGTTGAGGATAGCATTAATCTAGATTTAAAAAAATATAAATAGAAATCATGTAATTAGACCCAAATATGGTACATCATTTGAGCTCAATCTTGTGACAACCCAGGTGCGATTTTTTGGTCGGCCCATAGTTGGGCCAACTTTTACAAAGTCGGTCCAAGTTCTTGTGCCAGAGGTTGGGCCAACCATACAGATGATAACGGTTCGCCGTCTAATGGCGACGATGGTTGGCCCGACAACTCATAAGGAAGTTGGCCCAACTTACAATGCATATGTTGTGCCAACTATACATTTCAATGGTTGGTCCAAAGACTGACGCCAAAGTTTGCACAACTTTAGATGCGTAAGTTGGGCCAACCACAATTTTCAAAGTTTGGACAACTTCAACAGCCAAAGGTAAAAAATGATTAAAAAACTAAATTATTTAAACAATTAACAGGTTATTATTAGCGGGAACATCAGATATAACCTTTACCTATTATTATTAAACACAATCTCATACATACATTATCGAAAATATCTAACGCTCGCTGCCCAGCTGAAAAATCGTGTACAAGATCGTGTACACGATGTTGCACAAGACCATGTACAGGAACATTGACCCGAACCTACACAAGATTAGCAAGTGAACTTGTAAAAGAAATTGGAACAAAGAACATGCACATGTGCATGCACAAGTTCGTGTGTGTATAACTTTGACTGGTTCATGTTCATGTGCATTAGGGTGTCCGTTATTTACAAAGTTGTTTATATTTCTTGCGACGCCCCCTAAATTATTTGTTTACCTTCTAAAACAAAATGTCAGACCAAAATAAACCCTTAATATTCACAATAAACCTTGCCCCAAAGACGATACATTTCCCATTTACAATACATGGGATTTTGCTTCTTTTTACAAATTAATTTTGTTTTCGTCAAATATTTTATTTTACATCAATAACAAATATATATTCTTATAGAAAATTTAACGCCCTAAAAAAATAGTTTTTTATGATTTTTTGATAAATTATCTCATTTAAGAGTTATTTAAAGTTCTAATCTAAATTTTTAGATTTTTGTACTTTGACGGCAAAATTATTATGAAAGGATCCATATCAAATCATGCAGGCATTCCGACGATATAAATAGCGAATTATTTTCGCAATGACATACGTTATCCTACTCAAAAAATAATAAAATTCGTATTTTTATTAATCTTGAATAGGATTCAGTTTGCACTTTTTACGAATATTTCATGATTTTAGCAAAAAAATTACTTTTTTGTATTTTCTTTTATAAAATTGCGTATTTTTCATATTTTTTGTTGCTCTTAGGGCTCATTTTTTCCTTTTTATACTTTTTTAAGTAAAATTACGCAAAAACGAAAATAATAAAAAACAAGTGATACTAAATCCAATTTTAAAAAAATGTCTCAAAAAGGACTTTTTTCTTTCTTTATTTTCAGGATTTTTTTAAGTTCTTTAAAAAAATATTCTTTTTTAATAACATTTTACAATTTTTTTGTTCATAAAAATTATTTTATTATATATATATATATATATATATTTACATTTATTTCAGAGGCAATATCTATAAAAGAGAAAAAAATTTCTATTTATAGTTGAAATCTTTCTTTTCATTAATCGACTCAATCAGCCAATAATATTCTCTCATAATAAGTTATGTTCAATTTTATTGACAAAAAATTTTAAACTTCATTTAAAAAATTTGAACGTCTTAAATAAACTAACCGCACTGAGAGAAGAGAAGCACAGAATATGAATTCTGCCGCACACCGGCTATACAAAATAAGAGACAGAATCTGTCCTTTCGCGTAAAAGATAGATACTGTCACTTGAAGCGTAGAATAAGCAATAAAATTACATCTGTCTGCAAAATTCGTTATATCCTTTTTCTCATGAAAAAGGCACGTTTTGGAAATTCCACATTTGGCATTTTTTCTGATAAATAAATATGAATTGATTTCATTTATAATTTCTATAATAATTAAAATATATATATATATATATATATATATATGCATGTATGATGTGCAGATGTATATATGCACATGAGTATGTTTACATATTAGAAATTATGTATATATTATATTATCTTCAAGTTATATTGTTTATGTATAATATAAATTGTAATGTAAGACACTTCACACATTTTAATGTGGTGTAATTGTAATTTAGATTCATTAATCATAATCGAACAATTTATTAGAAATATAGAAAAGTATGATGAGTGAATAGTATGTATAAGAGATACTCCTTTATGTGTGTATAGAATTCACAGTGTCGTGCCTTAAAAGTGTTAGTGTCTCGATGTTGAATACATATCCAACAAGAGTGCGCGTCATAGCGAGCATGCGCACTCGGACTAAAATGTACACAAGACGGAGAGCATCTCCGTCTCGTCTGACAACAAACTTGGAGAGTTCTAATCTTGCGCTTGACTAGAAAGGTTCTTGTCGTCTAAGTTCCTTAGTCAGCTTGATTGAAACAAAGTATTTTAATAAACTTAAAGGGTTTTACCTTCGAAAGGAGACAAATATATTATCTTCTTTCGAACGGGTTTCCCTTCCGTTGTACGGAATTTAATCTTGTTTTATTTAAATTATCCCGCTTCCTTTTTAAAGGATTTAACCAAGTCGAATCCGGCCAATCAATCACTTTTGTTAGAGTTGCGTATTAATCGGTAACTCGGCGCGTAACACGAGCGACTGCCATCTCGCTCGTTAACTTTTCGATATATCGATTAACGAGTTATCGAAGCGCGAAACAATAAAATTTCGTTAATAAACTAATTATTTTAGGATTTTCTTACGACTTTTGACAAATATTGACGAGACTAAACAAGAAAGTTCGACTATTGTAAAATATAATACTTCACGGTTTAATAGTTTCCAAATTCCGAAAATGTATTTGAAAATCAACATTTCTTAGAATTGTCATAAATCAAGTGGAATAGCGAAAGAAAATGTAATCTCTAGTTTCTTTAGAGTCATAAAACCGAGAAACTCTTGAAAGAATATAAAAAATATCTCAAGTGTCCTTTTCCATAGGACAATGCAACATGTGTTCACCATACTTGTGACCACAGAAATGGCTTCGAAAAGTCACGTACACATAGACTTTCATTATGCGACGAACTTTAATTATCAATTGTATAATATGAACATTATGAACAATTGACAACAATATTATATTGTTGCTAATTATTAGGGTGACCGTTATTTTGCGAAAGTTGGAATTTCTTAGTTCGCCGGGCAGAATTTGCTTTAGAATGTGAAAAAATGAGCTATGCAAAAAAACAGCCCAATTGATCAATATTAACCCGTGCCACCGAAGGGTTAAAGTTTAAATGGGGCTTAACATAGGATTAGTGCACTTTTTTACATTTTGTATGAGAACTTTTTTTTTAATTAATCTTTTGCCTTGTCGACATATATATTTATGGTTTTGGATGTGCTGAACACGAATCCGATGTCAAAAAAAAGTTTTGACAGCTTCCAGCTGTCAAAAAAGCTGTCAATATTTTTAAAATGACAGTTTTTGTGTGAATTTAGACAGTTTTTGTGTTTAGTTTAGTAAATCAAACAAAATTGTGCTCATATAAAAGTATTTTAAGAACAATAAAGTCAAACTAAATAGCAATATGTAATATTGACAGTTGACAGCTGTCAATTAAACTGTCAAACTTTTAAAAACGAGAGTTTTTGACAGTTTTTACATTAACTTAGTCAGATAAAAATGTTTTCAGGGTATTTAGGTAAACCTGAATAGAATTATGTAAATTTGATAGTTGACAACTGTCAATTAAGATGTCAAACTTTTGAAATGGAGACTTTTTATATTAAATTAATACTTGCATACGAGTGTTTTTAAGTACACTGAGGTGAATTATATTAGCGAAATGTATTCTTCACAATTGACAGCTGTCAACTGTCAATATTACATATTGCTATTTAGTTTGACTTTATTGTTCTTAAAATACTTTTATATGAGCAAAATTTTGTTTGATTTACTAAACTAAACACAAAATCTGTCTAAATTCACACAAAAACTGTCATTTTAAAAATATTGACAGCTTTTTTGACAGCTGGAAGCTGTCAAAACTTTTTTTTGACATCGGATTCGTGTTCAGCACATCCAAAACCATAAATATATATGTCGACAAGGCAAAAGATTAATTAAAAAAAAAGTTCTCATACAAAATGTAAAAAAGTGCACTAATCCTATGTTAAACCCCATTTAAACTTTAACCCTTTAACATTCTAAAGCAAATTCTGCCCGGCGAACTAAGAAATTCCAACTTTCGCAAAATAACGGTCACCCTACTAATTATACAGTATGAATGTATTATTTAAAAATGATATTATTAGTAAACTTCATCTAATTGATTGTTGTAATATTGTGGTATTGGATATATATATTTATAATTGGAAAATTTCCGAATAATCGAAGTTTTGAAAAATTTAATTGTTATAATATAACTTTTAACACAGTTTAAATTTGTTGTTTAATATATATTTTTTGTCCGCTTTTTTGTAAATCGTAATTACACACATATGTGATTACCATTTACAAAAATAACTATATTTTTCATTTTAGAATTCAAAAACCAATAAAAGGGCAAAGCTAGGAGAAACTAATTCGAATCAAAGGGATGACTTTTCTGATGAATTACAAATTTCGAAGTTAAGACCAGTACAAGTATGCATATATATTACATTTTCCTGTAACGTAATATGTGAATGATCTCTATCTAAAAGAAATTTAACTTCTTAGTTTTCAGAGAATTTTTTAAAATATCTTGATCTATGTGAGAATTTTAACATAAATCTTCTTTTTTGGGTGACAGTATATTAATGTTTTAACAGGCAGA